CTACTCTAGTTAAGAGAAAATAATTCACTAAGACAAAATTGTTTAGAAAGTGCTTTAATCACTAGTTCAGCTACAGTAAATTTATGTCTAGGTTCTTACAATGTTTCACCATTTTTGCAGATTTCTGTTACCACAGTGTGGAATATTTAAAAACGAAGATTCTAGAAGGAAAAAGAATATAGATGAATTTGGATAGATTGTAAAAAATTCTTTCCGAAAAATTATGAAACTACCAGTGTCTCTCATTCATGCACATGTAATCACAACAACGTGAACAAATCCAGCCCGAGGAAGTCCTAATCGATGAAACGCGTCACAAATAAACTTTTTCTGTTTTGTCTTACAATCTCCTCAATACTGTTCTTGTTGTATAAATATATATATATATATATATATATGACCCTGCTGTCCATTTCAATCTATGAGGGCTAAAAAGTTAATTGATAAAGATTTTTATAGAACCTGTTTGTTTTTTGTGTGTATATATATATATATATATATATATATATATATATATATATATATGAGAGAGAGAGATATATGTATATATAACTAACTATATATATATATATATATATAGAACAATTTCAGGGTGAAGAAGTATGACAGTGGAAAATGTTTTCTTGTGACATGTTTCATCCTTTAGGACTTCATCGGATTAAGTTTATATTGATACAACTACACATGTGCATGAGTGAAAGTGATGGTGGTAATTTTAAATTTTTTATTTTGGGTATATAATCAAGCCAAAATTATATTGTGTGTGTGTATATATATATATATATATATAACATAATTTTGTATATCTAATATTTAGAAAAATAGTCTGACAAATTGGAAATGAGTTTTGTGATGTATTTCATCCGTTTGTGTGTGTGTCTATATATATATATGCACACACAGTGGGGGGAAATAAATATTCGTACACCATGAAAATTTTTAATTAACATAGTTATAACTTATGAAAAAACTTAAGGCCATACAATTTTTCTATACCATTGCATAATGCTTCAATATGCAAAAAACAATTAGAAAACTTTGTTATAAATGAAATTATGTTATTTATAAAATTTTGAGGTGAAAAAAGTATTCATACAAAATATGCCTTTAATATCAAAAGGCTTAAATTACCTTTATTTACATAATTCTTTGTATGATTTTGCTAGATTCTTCCAATTATCTTATTACCAGAACAATCTAGGACATTTCGCAATTCATTTCTTATATAAGGTTATTTCTTGCACACAAATCATACACAATAATTATCAACCTGGGTAAAGAAAAGGGACTATCAAATTTGCAAAAATAATTGATCATCAAACATTGAAAGGAAGGCAAAATCTATAGGAAAATAGCAAATATCCTGAATATACTATTTACTACTATTAGTTCCATTATTGTTAAGTATAAAAATGTGAAAACTGTTAAGAACAAATTGAAATCTGGTGCACCAAGCAAGATTTCTACCTGATCAATGAGAATTTAGTGCAAAATTCAAGAAATTTCAATGACTACTTAGAGAAATAAAGGAGGAATTGAAACGAACAATAAGCAATGAACTTCATATAAGTCAACTGACATTCTTCAAGAAAAATTTCACTAATAATGAAAAAAAACATAAGGATGCCAATTTGTTTGTGATTATAATAATAAACTTGAATCATTTTGGAAAAAAGTGTTTTATGAACAGTTGAAGCAAAAATTGAACTATTTGGATGTAATTCAAGAACTCACATTTGGAGAAAAGACATCATAACCTTTGTACTAAAGAACACAATCCCAACAGAAAAATTTGATGGTAGCAATACCATGGTCTGGAGCTGTTTTCTGCTAATGGCACAGGTAATTTATAGATGGTAGAATGAATTCAAAAATATACCAAGATGTTTTGAGTCAAGTAGTAAAGCTTGAATTCCCAAATGAATGGGTTTTGCAGCATGATAATGACCCTAAATATATGGCTAAATCTATGAAAAATGGCTTATTGAAAACAATGTCAGTACACTTGAATTGCCATGACAGTCTCCAGACTTGACTCCAATAGAGAATTTGTGGTGTTTATTAAAAATTCAAGTTAATAAAAGAGCCCCGAAAAACATCCTGGACCTAAAGTGAACATGCAAAGAAGAATGGAGTAAAATACCAAGGGAAACTTTCAAATCATTGATTAAAAGATACAGAAAGAGACTGATTTCTGTTGAATTGAGGTAGGGATATGCTACAAAATATTAAAGAGGTATTATAATTTTGTACAAATAGTTTTTGGCCTCCAAATTTTTTAATTTCATATAATTTCATTAATATAACAAATTTTTCTGTTTTTTTTTTTTTTGTTTTTTTTTGTTTTTTTTTTCATATTGCAGCATTATGCCATCATATGGATTATAAAATTCTTTTATAAAATCTGTGTTAAATAAAAAATTCATGGTGTAAAATATTACTTTCCCGCCACTTTATACTAACTTGAAAAGAAGGTAATTATGCCAATATATTATGTATTGCTTGTCTTTTCTTTTTTTTTTTTTTTTTTTTTTTTTTAATCCTTTGATTTTGGTATCTCTGATTTATTTCAGATTTTGGGCTCATTCTTTTGCTATTTATGTTTAGTCCTTTCTTCTCGCTTTCCTTCACTACATTTTGTCAGAGCTTCTACAGTTTTCTTTCTGTGTCTGCTATTAACACTGTGTCATCTGCACATGTGTGGCCACCAATAATGAATCCTTGAAGGACATCTAATTCTCTCAGAATTAACTCACTGTATAGGTTGAATAAGTTCAGTGAAAAGACACATCCTTGTCTTACACCCCTTTCTATTTTTGTATATCTGCTGAACTCCTTTTCCATCCATATGCAGATGGTTTCCTTCCAGAACAGGTTCATGATTATTCTAATATGCTTCTCAAATATGTCAAAGCTGCTGAGCAATTCCAACAGATCTTTGTGGTATACTTTATTGAACACTTTTGCATCATCTACAAAACACAGGTACATGCCTTCTGCATTTATATTGCTCTTTCTGATGGCATTCTGAGCATAAGTATTGCGTTCCTTGACAAACACACACTGTTCTTGACCTATCTCTGGTCTGATTCTGCTGCGTGCTCTGTTCATCAGAATTTAAATGATAAGTTTTGCTATATGACTCATTAGGCTGATTGTCCAATGGAGTTTGCATTCATTTGCACCTGGTTTCTTAACAGTGCTATGAAAATAGATCTTAAATTTTTCAGTATATCACCACTGTTGTAGATTATAATCTTGTCTATGCTGAAATCATCTAAGGCTGCTAGCATCTCTATTACAATTCTGTCTAGCCTTGCCGCTTTTTTTCTATTCAATTTGGTCAGTGCAACTTCCACTTCGGTTTTTATTTACAGTTGATATTTCTGTATATTGCTGGTCTGTTAAAAGCTAAAATAACTTAATCACCTAAGTGCCTAAAATTCATCAAAGTTGTCCTCCCTGGAAAAAATAAATAACTGTTCCTGCATATTTAATCTGTAGTCTTCTTAAATAACAATAAGCTGAACCTTAATGATTTAATAGTTTTATTTTTATACAAGGATAAATCGGTAACTCTGTAGTTTGACAGTCTTTAGCTAAATTTAGATTTGAAAATTTCACTGTATCATGTTCAAGATATATGGTTACTTTTGAAGTGTTGACTTGAGTGCATTGTTGTAGATAGAGATTATATTGAAAAATAAATATTTGTTGTGTAAAAATACTCTTTTCATCCTTAGTCTATGGCAACTCAGTGTACTTCCACATTCAAGATATATATGCAATATGACAGCTGTGATAGACATTCACATAGAAGAGGATGATAAATGATTTTATCTCTGTCTTAAATGTTTTGTGTTTTTTTATGACAAGCAGTAAAGTCTACAAAGTAGGATCTTCAAAGCAGCCACCCACTTGACCAAAAGGGAATAAAATGAGAATTTTAGGGAACAAGTAACACTTGAACAGACATTAGAGGTTTCCATTTGCAGGTTTATATAAGCAATTAGAATTGAGGGTGGTTCTGATATAAGTAAAACGTTTTTGAATTGTGGCATAAAGGATGTATAAGAAGACTAATAATTTGTTCATATACTCTGCTTAAACTCCAAATTTATATTAGTAGTGTGAGGATACCATCAGTCATGAGGTAGCAAGCAATAAATTTGGGACTCCAAAGCTGAGACGGAAGTCAGAGGAGAACAATGCCAGGAGCACATTATAATCTCAGAATATATCATATAAAAACTGAACATAATGCTGAAGAAAGATGTTTCCAAAATAGGATTTATCAATATTCTGGAACACTGCAGACTCTTGAAAAGGGCTGCAGACAGTGTGTCCCCAGTCTAACAAAATTAGAACATATAATGATATCTTCACACATTTATTTAGCTGCTTTAACCAACCAATGTGACATAATGCTTCATAGTGATTTGACTGAACATTTGAAAATGGTGACAACTTTAAAAATTATTTCTAGAATTAAACTTTTGCTTATTCTTTTAAGATTATTTTGGACAAAGTTTATTTACAAATTGGCTCTGATTTGAAATACCGCCCTGAGTAAGATGTTAAACTGCATCCGCATCCTGGGTAAGACGATAAACTACGTCCAGCAACAAAGGCCTCTGATCAGGAGGTTTTAAGGAGCGTGGAAGTACCTCTTAATTGCTGGTGTTCTCAGGTCCACCCTGACCCAGGGTGGTAGCCCCTGTTAGGGTCCCAGCTATGGGCAAATAGTTAACTATTACCAGCAATACTTTTTTTTTTTTTTTTTTTAAATTATTACCAGCAATACAATTTTGAAGGAAAAATATTACCAGAAACAGATTTTTGACAAAACAATATATTACCAGCAATAAAAAAAATTTTGTCAGCATTAAATAACCCATTGAGGTTGATATGCCATAAAACAAAATAAACCAAACCAAACTGATTTGAAATATAAAAATCTGAAGACTTAATATATTTAAATATATTCATAATTCTTATGACATATCACATTGAACTCACTGGTTTTCATTCGAAAAACCAAGTTAAGCCACATTGAGCGTGCTCAGTACTTAGGTGGGTGACTGCTCGGGAATATCAGGTATTGTAAGCATAAAGAGAGTTTCCCATCCAATTACTGAAGTTAAGCAATGTCAGCCCTGGATGGATGATAACTTGGAAATAACAGGTGCTGTAAACTTGGATGTGTGGGTGGTGTAATGGATAATGGCTTGGGATTGTTAATAAGAGAGCTGAGTTCCAATTCTAGTTGGGTGCATTATGTTCACTTAGACATAGATATCCTTGGGAAAGGTATGAATCCACCTTTTCTACCCCCAGCTGTGAGCTCATTAGTAAGATTTGTATCACTGAATCACAATCTCCAGAAAGAAAATTCTTAGACTCTAAGAATATTTTCTGGCTTTAAATATGCTGCAAAGAGTTGATAAGCTGTACAAAATGAATCAATCAGTATTTATAAAATTGGTAATGACTTAAAGATGTTAATATTCCCGTATGGTAAGATAGCTACTTTTAAACTGGTTTTTCATACTATTAGTAAATCAAAGTATGTAAATGTTCTAAATATGTGCTGACCTATCAAGATAGATTCTGCTTTTCTCACAAATTAATTCCTGTTGTATTTGGAATGGCTCCCACACCCAAATAAAGATCTTTTAACAAAAAGTGACCAACCTCTCTTGAGCAAAACGTGTGTGACTCATTGCTTCATGTTATAGATGCATATAGTTTGGTACCAGAAATAGTGACATTAGTTGGTGACAATACCCTTTTACTGTTGAATTAGTTAAATGTAACTGCCGCTTCTACTCCAACAGTTTCTTTTCACGTACTTCCTACCTGTGAAACTTTGTTTAATTTCCTTGCTTTTCTAATGACTACAATCGTCAAAAATTTAAATACAATGTCAATAGCCATCTTCTATCTTCTTTAACCCCATTCAGGTTTTATCTTTTCCTCAGTCACCACTAAACCCTGTCTCTCACCTTCACTCTCTGTAACACCCTATGCACTGGTGGCATTCCTACCTTGCTTGAGATGAAATGATTAAAAAAAAATGATTTGTCTAAAGCCAGGTTTTCCTTCTGTTTTTTATTTTTCTCTTCATTTTGTCTTAAGTCCTGAGTGATTAAGAAAACAAGTAATTGCACCTAATTGGACTAATTGAATTTTTTTTTTTTTTTATTTCAATTCAGTATTATGGCAGCACATAAAATTCTTGACTAAGAAGGGATTTACAAAAAAAAAAAAAAAAAAGAATAAATAAATATATATTTGTATTCTAAAATTAAAATGTTTCCTGGAAAAGATCTTTTTAACATTGTTATCTTGAGAAAGATGAATTAAAACTATGATACTCACTTTATTTCCTCTTCAATGTTTTGTCATTCAGTTTTTGTTCATTTGCTTGATACATGATACAGTGTCACCAAAACATTTTGCAGTTTGATTTTAATTTAGAATTGTATGCTACCTTTCACTTTTAAAATTATGAGGTTAAAATATAATAATAATTATGGTGTAACATATTAATGAAGATGAAAATTCTGTTCTTGGGGCATGGCATCAACAAAGCTCCTCACAACTCAAGAACTTTTCAGAGAATACTCTCAGTAAATGATGGCCATTTTCTAGAGGTCTACAATCTTGGTTTTGGTTCTCTCAGCACTTTTCAGTTTTCTAGGTGGTATTCCAAGTGTTCCCATCACTATAGGAATTAGTTCTACACTCATGTTCTATAGCTTCTTCAACTCCCTGGGCAGGTCCTGGTATTTTTTAATCTTTTCAGTCCACTCTTGTATCAATATGAAACAGCAAAGTCTATAATTTGATTTTGCTATTCTCCTTATCTATAACAATAAGATCGGATTTTCGTACTTCTATGATATCTGTCTGGATTGAGAAATCCCGTATCTTGTGACTGTCATTTTCTATTTCTGTCTCTGGCTGATGTTCATACCACTTCTCTTTTACAGTGAAACCAAACTTCATACAATAGTTTATCATGAAAGAATTTTTTTTTAAGGATTGGAAACTAAATAGTTAATATAGTTGGTAAATTGATCAATGTGGCTATTGGCTCTCACTGTGGCACACCTACTTCAGGAGTGTCAAGTGTTTTAGGTACTTGGGTTTGGTGTCCTGCTTGACTTGATTCCGAGAAAAGTCTGGGCAGCTGCATGTAATATTCTTAATCAAGCTCATTAATATGTATCGTTTACACTAATAGGGAATGTTACTCTTATTTTGTGGTTTATATTGTTTTCTAAGGATTGTGTTTCATTTCATGAAAGGTTTTGACTTGGTGTTCATTATATTCTCAGAGCATATCATCTTTCATAAAAAACTCCAGAAATATTGTTATTGATTACACTAATTACATTATTGTGGAGTCTATAAGGATGTGCAGGTAGCATAGCAGTGCAGAAAGTGGAATTGGCTATTCCAAGTTCAAATCCTGTCCAAGGCTGTTGAGTTCGCTTTCACACACATACTCTTGAAAAAGGAAAGAATGCATTTTTACTTTCTCTCAGTTAGACATTAAATAGCAGGGTCGACTGGGCTCATCTTTATTTTTGGTTGGCAACCAGTCTTGGGAGAAAACTCTGAATTCAAAATCAGTTGGGCCTGGGCTGACAACTCCACTCTGTAAAAATTTATTCCTTAAAGAAACCAAAGCAGCAATAAACACCTAGCAGGGTGAATCTATGGACCCTATACTCTACAAGGGAATTAAATGGGACTTAAAAGAAAGATGACTGTCTTAGTATAAAAGTGTAATGAACATTAAGGAGCTAGTTTACCAATTCTTTCAAAAAATCACAGCATAATTTTTTAAATTCTTCTGATTATTAAAGGCACATGTTAGTTTTTAAGTATGTGGTGTAAAGGATCAATTGTCATCTAAATTATGCAAAAAGGAAAATAACACTGACATCTCATTTTAACATAGATTTACCGAAATTACACAAAATATCTTGAAATACTAAAAGAGTAAATTTATTCAATAAAATCACCATTGGCTTCAACCACAAACTCCAGATGACTTCAAAATCTCCTACAACTCTTCTGGATTGTCTCCTTGTTTAAGTTGGTGAATGCTGCCATAATCCTTGCTTTCAGTTCATCTTTTGCTCAACTGTGCCCCACACATATTAATCAAGGGGGGGTTTCAGTCTGGGGAGTTAGGTGGCCAGATATAAGTGATAATTTGGTTGCAGAAATTGTTTGTCAGCCATGACTGGTTTCTCCTGCTTGTGTGGCATGGTGCAGTGTCCTGTTGCCAGACATAGTCATCCAGCAGCCACACTGTTGACTCAGGGCAGCACTACCTCTGTTGAGTCTGAGGCCCTTACCAACAAATTCGGGGGTTCTTTTCTTCAGAACCTTTGTAATCATCATTAGACTCATCCAACTATTTCTGCATCCTCTGCACTTTCTTCAGATTGACACCCAAACACTCTGAAATGTTTGTATTGGAGCTTTTGGCACAAACACCAAGCAGTACAGCATGCTGTTTCCAAATTTCTGGCAGAGTGAATTGCGTCATAGTACTCTTTTTTTTTTTTTTCTTTCTTTTTTTCACAGACGGTGACCATCTGCCTCTACTATACTGTGCAGTTGACAAAATTAAAAACACATGCATGAAATTAAAAATATAAAATGGCAACAATTTAGCCATTGCACCTTGTATATGGTTGTTTTTCCACTTTCTGGAATAAGGAGTTATCATTATTTACATGCAGACCATTGTCTTCATCTTTTGTTGTTATTATTACCACAATATTTCAACATTCATCAGGTGCTTGTCAATCTGGTTAAACTTCAGCAAATTTCAAACTCACCTCTTTATTTAATCTATAAAGGTAGATTTTTCTTGTTCCACTATGTCTGGGGATATATAACCTTGTTCTTATTTTCACACTGCTCAATTATTACTCTCCACATCTTCACTGAGTCCAAGTAGACACTGCCTGGCCCAGGGATTGAACTCCCAATTACTATCTCAACAAATTCACAAACCAATGCTTTAATCCAATGGCTTAATGAATTAAAGTGTTGGTTTGGGAAATTGCTAACATAGTATTTGTAAGTTCAATCCTTGGGCTGGGTAGATATTTTTTTTTTTTTTTAATCATTTCAGCCCAAACAAGGCAATAAAGACACTAAGACACAAGGGGGTTATTGAGTGTTAGAGTATATGAGAAAAAAACATTATTAAGATATGAGAACATTAAAAGAACAAGAATTAAGAAGACGAAAGATAACAATTGAGATTGCATGTAAATTTTTGAAGATCAAAGTTGACTGGAAAGTAAGAATCCCAAAGAAAGTTTTACAAGTGAGAAATGTGATAAAAAAAAAATTATTAGCATAGAACTTAGTCACATCTAGCCATTTCAACTGTTATAAAATGAGATCTTGCCACCATTCTCGTATTGTGCTTTATAAAGTCTAGGTATCATCGAGCAAAGTTCATCAGATCAATTACCATGAAAGTATTTATAGAAAAGGCATAGAGAAGCTATGTTATGATGGTGAGATAGTGACTGAAGGCAAGATGCCAGGTCAGAACCAACAACATTGCAGATTCTTTGGATTTTATCAAGAATCTCTAAATACAGTGGCAGCAGTATTCAAAGCAAAGACATACAGACTTAGACTCATTGGAAACAGGGCAAGCAATAACTGAGCAGAACTAATTGAGAACAAGATATCCCTAGACATGGAAAACAGAATGAGAACAATCTACCCCCTATAAGTTAAATAAAGGGTTCAGTTTGAAATTCCATTTGGGGGTTTATTGAGGCAAAAGAATAATAATCTGGAACAATTTAATTTCCTTTGTAAAATGTTCAAAACTTTTAACCCAAATAATCAGGGGTGGGTTAATCAAGAGGCTGAGTAGATTTCTGTACTTTAGGGTCCCAGAAAGGAAGAAGAAAGCCAAGATAAATTATTTGTAGTACAACTGTCATGACAATGAAAAAATAAATGAATAAAAAGGATCTTCCATCCTGGGTATGACAATAAACTACATCCGCATCCTGGGTAAGACGATAAACTTTGTCCAACAGTATGGCCTCTGATCAGGAGGTTTTGAGGAGCGTGGAACCACCTCTTAATTGCTGGTGTTCCCAGGTCCACACTTACCCAGGGTGGTAGGGTCCCAGCTATAGGTAAATAGTTAACCCCCAAACTGAGGTCAAAACACTATGAAGTGTAAAAATAGATTTTAATACCAGAAATACTTTGTAAAAAAAATTATTACCAGCAATACATTAAAACAAAAAAAAAAAAACATATTACAAGCAATACATTTTTGAAAAAGAAATATTGCCAGCTATATACATTTTTGAAGGAAAAAAAATATTACCAGCAATAAAAATTTTGTTGGCATTAAATAACCCATTGAAGGTGATATACCATAAAACAAACCAACCAGAAAGGCTCTTTGAGTTAGTAAATTCACTATATGATACATATTTTAAAAGTTATTTATTGATTGAAAGTAGGGTTGAGAGCAGAGGCGCATTCCTGGTGTTCAGCTTCAGGGAAACTCCTTTCACAGCTGATACCTTTTTTTTTTTTTTTTTTTTTTTTTTTTTTGCTTTTCTCTGAGTAAATCTGATTAAATAATAATTTGACTCCCCCCCCACTTTATAATAGATTTAATGTATCTACAATTACACAGCTGCTCACTAATTTTCAGTAGTTACTTTTTCTACTCTAGAACTTTTAAGTGCTGCCACCACCAAAAAAAAAGAACAATAACAATGTGAACATTATGCGCTTGAACAACAAATCACATTTTTGGTCTGGTTTTTTTTTTTATTCTTTTTCTTTTATACACTTTCTGACCAGTTACAAAAACTACAAGAGGTAGCTTGATACAATTGTTAGTGGAATGTTGATCTGAAACTTTCACTGTATTATGCTAAACATTCTAGGTAAAGAACAAGCAGTCAAAATTTGTTTTTTAATAGATTTATAAAAGCCTAAAACCATGCTGCTGTAATTTTTATTTTTGTGTAACATCACTGAGGCATAAACTCGGCCATGTTTGTTGACAAGAATGGTGGATTGCTTCTCAGTGCAGAGCATTGCAGAGTGGGTAGCAAATATTGCAGAGCATTTGATTAAAATCAAAAAGAAAACTGATAGACTGGATATGTATAAAATAGAAAATGGGAGTCATTGGCAATATTATTGTTTCTCTGTCTCTCTCATATATATATATATATATATATATATATATATGTGTGTGTGTTTCATTGAATAATAAAGGCATGTTGTGTCTACCTAATTTTAAACTGATCCTTTCCAGTTGTCTAATCAGTTTCTTGATATTAGGATGAAAGTTATCAAGGAATATTCTGTAATTATTTTTAACCCAAGTACTTGTGACCTTTTCTAAGGTCATCTTTAGGGGTAAATTACAAAGACAAACAAACATTGTAACTACGATAAAATCTGCATTCTCTTGTCATAGAGATTTTTTAAAAACATGTGCAAGTGTGCTCTGTTAGCATTTTAGAATTTTCAAATTTATTCATTGTAATTATAGAATTTTTTTTTAACAAACAAGCATTTCAGTATAAGTGAACTAACCGGGAATTGGTAAAAATGGCATTAGTATATAAGTATTATATGCACTTAAATATACTGACACTATATTCATAATAAATTTTGTGTGTGTGTATATATATATATATATATATATATATATATATATATATATATATATATATATATATATATATATATATATAAGTACACATTAGAACGTGTACATACCTGCTACAAAACTCTACATCTTGTTTCAATGTTAAAAAGTAATGTTTCTTCAGGTGGGAAATCATGATGGTATTGTTTTATTGTTCTACTTTTGTACTGAGCCCTGTTTTAAATTAGTTTTGAACTTGGAAATTTTACTCTTCGTTCTTTTACATTTGAAGATATATAATATGCCTATGTCTGTGTGTGTAATAGATACACATATGCAGTGTGAGATCAGTTATCCCTGTCTGGCAGTCATTACCTTAATTTAGAGCTGAAATTTTCACTGTATAATATTCAGTCTATAGAAAACTACTAGGTTAAGTTTTTCAACAAGAAAATAATAGAAAAATAAATATTTGTTGTGTAAAAGTAAATGCTCTTTTCCTCATTAGACTATAGATATTTGAAGCTAACACAGTTCATTACCTGAATCTTGATCTGAAATTTTCACTGTATAATAATTAATGCATGCTGATTAATGGGGAAGCTTTGATAAAAGAGATTATGTTGAAACTTAAATATTTGTTGTGTAAAATCTTTTGTTGTTTTGTTTTTTGTCCTCATTGGTCTACATTATCAATATGTATTTGATTTGATATATTTACACATAATTATCTATTGTAAATGTCTTTCATGTTTCTGTCTCTCTTTCAGAGGCAAATTTGCTGTTGTGAAGAAATGTGTGAACTTTCAGACAGGTGAAGAAGTGGCAGCCAAATTTATCAAGAAGAGGCGTCGAGGAAAGAATTGCCGTGAACAAATTCACAGAGAAATTGTCATGCTAGAATTATCCCATCCACACCCGCGTGTGGTCGACATAATAGAAGTTTTTGAGAGTGCCACAGAATTAATACTTATCACCGAATAGTAAGTCTACATGTTTATATGCAAAACCAACCTTCTACAATCTATTCAAATTACTCTATGATCTCACTTGACAGTTTTGAAATTTTTACCTCTTTCAGTTAAGAAAGATTTTCTGGCAGACTCTTATTTACTGCTGTTAATTTTAAACGATAAAGAAACCTTTTTTTTCTTCTTTTTTTTATCATTTCAATTCAAGCAAGGTAATAATAGTCACTAGGATGCAAAGGGTTACTGAGTGTAAAAGAAACGGGACAATAAAAGAACAGGATTCAAAGAGACAGAAGATGATGATGATTGACATTGCATTTAAATTTTTGAAGATTATAGTTAACAGGAAAACAGGAAGCGGGAAGAGAGTTCCACAAGTGAGAAATCTAAGCTTTGAAAATATCTTATTTTAAATGGACTATATTTATTTAAATGTTTGTGTACAGGAATATTATTTGACAAGTTAATTCTCATGATCAGCATTCAGTTGGGTGATCTATTGCAGACCTTCAACTATAGTGTTAGATTTGCAGCAATGTGGTGCTGAGCTTTTCCAATCTCATTTATCCTATTTATGACATTAATTTAAATATTCAGCCACAGACCCTGAGCATTATCTGACAAATCCCCAAGAGTCCTTGCTCCACAGTTTTGAAACTACTAATCTCATAGATTGTAAACCTATAATGACCTCCATGGCATATTTTGGGATCAATGGAATTTACTTGTTGGTACCTATACTTTTCTTCAGATAATATGGACAGGTTGTACTGGGTTACACAGTACCAGCAGCAGTGAATAATCCTTGATATAGCCTATTAGGGGGAAGTGGATTCGTGCCTTTCCCTTTGTGAATTTTCTTGAATCTGAACATAGTTTGCCATAAACAGGTTCTTATAGATGTCATTGTTTTTTAACTAATAAATAACATTATTCATATTATTGTCTATAATGCTGAATTTGGATGCCTGAATACCTGAAGAAAGCCATAGAATGAATCAACCCAAACTTATGGGAACAGAAAATCACAAAAAAAGAACAAAAATCGTCAAGTTTCCTGAAATTTCTTTGACCAAACACTGTTCATGATTTAAGGTAACAGATTAGTTAGTTCTTTATTTCCAACACTATTCCATATTTAAGAAAGAAGGCTTCCAGAATGTATGAAAAAAAATGGTTAAAATATGGAACATGTATACTAAAAAGAAGAAAAATTAGGATGAAAGAAAAACTACTCAAAAAATAAGACAAAACTTCATCTGAGAAATTTGGCCTATTTAAGACTAGTTATGTCAGTTATTATTACAAGATGTAAACAAACAATATGATATAGAGTAAAAACAAGTAAGGAGGAATATAGGTGTATGTCTAAATTTGAACAATTTCTACTGATTGACTTTATTGGTCTAATTGGTAAGGCACCATCTATATCAGCCAACCACTAAGGATTTAAAATTTGAGTTTAAATCTTACTGGAGGTGGTTACTTTAATTTCCAACCCATTCTGCATGTATAACAGGTGTAGAATGTTAAAAAAAAAAAAAAAACCCCAAGATAAAAGGAAGAATTAGAGAATTAGACAGAAATTAATAATCTTAAATTTTCAGTTTCTATGTTCGATAAAAGGAAGAATATATCAAAGTAACAGATTGGAATGTAAAGAATTCAAATTGACCTTGGCTCAAGATTTTCTTTCATTTTTATGTAAAAAAAAAAAAAAAATTTTTTTAAATAATTTTTCTGAAGTATCTTATTTAATTGAAATCTGCATATTTCAAAGATGATTTTAAAACCATTTGTGTTATTAAAAATAAAAGATTTAGAAAATGCCTCTTCTGAAATGTGACATTTTTTAATTTCCCTTGTATCTTGATTTTCTTTATGGTCACATCATGACTATTGTGTATTAACTTTGTTGACCACATGTGAAGTATAAGGTCACAGTTTCACTGTACTAGATGTGACCGCTGTTGTTTATGTAGGTTTTTATAGGGCAGTGTTGCCAGCCCAACATCCAACCAATTTTGAGTTCAGAGTCGTCTTTCTCAACTTGTTAGCTTACAGCCACATTGTGTCAAAACACTGGTTCACATACAGTCCCAAAGTTTAAACAACATTGTTAGTACCTAGACGAATGACCACTTAGGAATACCAGGTGCTGTAAGCTTGGATGTGCAGGTGTTGTAATGGATAATGGCTCGTGATTGTTAATCGGAGAGCTGAGTTCCAATTCCAGTAGGGTTCATTAAATTCACTTAAGTGCAAATACCGTTGGGAAAAGTATGAAGCTACCTTTTCTTTCTCAGCTAATTAGTAAAACATATATCACAAAATCATTATCTCAAAAGAAAAAAATTATTAGAATCTAAAAATATTTTCTGGTTTTAAATAACCTTGAATGGGTTGATAAGCAGTAAAAAACAAATCAATCAAATTCTAAACTCACTGATGAGTATGGGGACAGAGCTCTCAGCATGCTAGGCATTTTGCTGCTGTGGTTTCCATAGCAAACAGTAAGTTTTTATGGGATGGAGTTGCTAGCCCCATGTCCAACTAAGTTGTCCTCCTAGACTGGTTACCAAGCAAGGCTCTACTATTTAACCTACCGAGAGAGAATATATGGATTCATACCATTCCCAAGGGCATTTACATATAATTGAATGTAATGAATTTGACTGGAGCTGCTATCCATTACACCACTCACCTATCCTTATCAACCACAGCTAAAAAAAAAACAGTCTACCCTGCTATTAATGGAGGAGAAAATGGATTCATAATCTTTCTTAAGGGTATTTGTGTGAAAGCGAATGCAACAGCCCCAGCTGGGATTTGAACTTGACATGACAGTCCGACCCTCTGCGCTGGTAACCACTATGCTATGAGCATATCCGATCCGCCTAGTATTCAATTCAAATTTTTCTTCATTTTTCTTTACAACTAGAACTGAATTTCAAAGGATGTAAATGAAGAAAAAACAAAAATATCCTCCTCCTCCTCTCCCTCCCCCCCCTCATTATGAGGAAGGTCATTCATCCTGCTTGGAATGTTGACATTTGCCAAACACAAGAGGTTAGAAATCTGTTGTGAGACATACCAACGGGAGTATGGTAGGGGGTTTTCAGCCAGTGTGATGGAGAAGAGGGGGGTAGTGCTTTTTAATATGGCTAATTTATGAGATGTTCTTTATCCCAAAATACAATGTCACTGGAACATGGTAAAAAAAGAAAAATAACCCATAAAGAATGTTTACCATCAACTTCACAAAATGATGCTGGAACTCTTAATTGAATTAAAATTATCATTGATTGAACTTCTTCTCAGCAAGGAAAACGAGAAAGAAATTAACATTGTTCCATATATTAATTATGCACAAATAATCTGTTTTTTTATTGATATTGAGATGAGCAAAATTCAATATATATATATATATATATATATATATATATATATATATATATATATATATATAAAATTGTGTATTTGTGCAGCAACCCCTCTTTTATACAAATTTCATTAAAGATGACTGACAAGGTACTGGGATTAAGCTTTTAATTTAATCTTTCTTGTGTTCATATAAATGTTTTCTTTTCTAGACCTAAAGTGTGTAAAAATTGTCCAAATTTTCTGCATATCCAAGCACTCATGGCTATTAGCCATTATTGAGGATGATTTTTATTAACTTAATGTATGGGTTTTTTTATGTATGTATCTAGAGTTAGAGGAATTTCATTTTCCAAAGATGGTCAGCATATTGTGGTTGTGTTCATAGTTGATGTCATTGAGTGTTGGCTTTTCTTTTTTATTATTAATGCTTCCATTATTTTTAAACTTTTTTTTACATATGGATGAGCTTATTATACTTGTATTTTCTACAAGTGTATATATATATATATATATAGCCTTTCCTTGTATTTTCTACAAGTGTGTGTGTCTATATATATATATATGTATTATTTTATATGTGTGTGCTTAGTGGAAAGTGCTCAATATCAATGATAGAGGTAACATAATAAGTTGTATAGATATGAGTTTGTGACCCTGGGTTTAAAGGCTAGGCACAGATACATATCCGTGCATTTGAATTACAACTGCGTATGTGTGTATGTATGCCCAAACACATGGATATGTATCTGCGCCTAGCCTCCGCTTGTTTATATAGATGTGTTGATGTGAACTAAAATGCGTACACCTGTATGTATGTGTCTATGCATATGATAGTGCCACCCCCAAATAAACACATAAGTAGATTCCCCTTCCCGCCACCAAACATAGTTAAATCAGAATAAATAAATCCAATTTTAAAAAATAAACCAGTTTGTCTGATGATTGTAAAAGCATGAAACCCTGGGTCAAAAACTCATATCAATACAACTTTATATATATATATATATATATATATATATATGTGTGTGTGAGAGAGAGAGAGCCTTTCTTTTTACTTTGTACACATAGCATAATCTTCTAAAATCAATTTTCTTTTCAGCCTGTGGGTGGTTTTAATGACTAAAATAAATTTATCAAGTGTCATATTTGTTAAATAAAGGTAACACTATTAAATCCCAAATTTCAAATATATTTTGTCTTTAAATTACTTTTGTTGTCCTTTGATGACCCCCATGTCCTGCCCATAATTGGGAACACAACTGTGGAACAGATACTGCATTCTGACCCTAAGCAGAGTGCTGGAAAGCTTTGATCCTTGGCACTGTGCACAGATAATAGTTAATTCCAACATAGAAGTTCACAAAAATAATCTTGTCATTTTAAAATGGATATTATGCTCATTTAAATCTATTTCTAAGCCTCTCTCTTTATACATGTACAATGGAATTCTAATGACCAAGCAAAATGAATTTAATCATTAACCCTACTGGACTTGTCGTCTTTACCAAAATTAGTTCAGTTGAAATTCAGCTGATGAGATTGCAAAGTACTTTTGGTTTGACCAATTGATTTTTTATTCTTTCATTCTTCCCCATTTATAGTTGTTCTGGCGGTGAGTTATTCCATGAATGTGTCATTGAAGAATCATTCAAAGAAAGTGATGTTGTCCGGTTACTCGGAGAGATACTTGATGGAGTTTTATTCCTGCATCATAAAAATATTTTGCATCTTGACCTGAAGGTAAGTACCCATGACCCCCATCCATTTTTAAAAAAAAAAAAAAAATCACCTAGAATTTTGGGCTGTTTTTTTTTTTTTTCTTTTCAGTGTCTAAGATTTTTATATTTTCATTCCCTTAAAATAAAATTTAACATATTCGTTAGTAAGTAAAATACAAATTTTAATTTAAAAAAAAATGATGGAAATTTTGCATTGCATCCAATTCGCTAATATTATGACTAGAGAGCTATTTACTAAAGCTCAAAATGGAAAGCTGTTGGGCATGGATGACTTTCTGTAAGCTGTTGTCTTCCAAATGTGCAGGTAATCATGAGTCTTCTTGGCTATCAAATATAATACTTGGTCTGAATGAATTACTCTGTGTGTGTGTGTGTGTAAAACAACCTGAAATGACAAAGGAAAAAATGACAAAAGAGAAAGGAAACATAAGAGGAAAAGAAATAACAGATATCTACCTAGGCAATAACCCAAAGTGCTCAATGACTCTAGCAAATGAAACAACACAAAGAGACTAGGCCAAATCGTTACTGTTTCACATAGGTATCATCAGACAAGAGCCCTCTACATGAAATTTGGACCTAGTCTGTCTGTTCTGTTTCCTTGCTTAGTGTCTGTATGTATGTATGTATGTGTGTGTGTGTGTGTATATATATATATATATATATATATATATATATATATATATATATATATATATATATATATATATATAATATATTATTGTCAAACAGTTCCTTTTTGTGTGTAATGTAGTTTTGTTTGCTGAAAAATTATAATTATATACCACTTGAAAACAGCTAATGAGAATTTTTTTTGTTCTCGGAGTGGATGATATGTATTGTCCTGACAATGAACAGTGTTTCAAACTAAATATGAGATAATGGTGAAAGTAATGATTGTCCTAGAGTGGATGATGGGATATCTTGAAATAAGTTTCTTTATCCTGTGTTTTCTTATTCTGGCATAGTGATTCAGTACAATTTGTAGATGTGGGATTAGAGTAATGAAAGCAATCATTTCATTATCCAGGAGCAGCTATTTCACTGATATGAAGTCACGCTAAAATATCCCAGTTCCAAGTGGTTAAAAAAAATATCTTAAAATATTCCAATCATATTACTGAAAATAGCTTCCCTTTTTTTTTCTTTTTCATTTTACTTATGACACCAAGTGACATAGATTACTTCTTATATATTTAAATATACAAGATAGACACAAAACATTTTTAAGTAAAACTTTATATTTTCTCTTGTTATTTTTATCCTTGTCCATATTTACTGTCCATGTTATGGTTGATACTAACATCTCTACCATCGTAGTAAGCCTAATGTTTGTGTACCTGATTGTGCTAAAGAACCACATCTTCTGGAGATATTTGACAATGATTGTGCATGTATTTTAAAGTATGCTTTTCTCTCTCATTATGATAAAAGAAGACATTATCTCCTGAAAGCCACCTTTGCTGACAGCATTCTGTCAATCCAGCTATATGAGAACAGAATCTGGAAACAGAAAACAAGAATAATGCTGCAGATGATGATCTCCAAAATCTTTTCCAGAAATTTTCACAGGCTGCACATTTGGTCCTGACCAGAAATATAAGAAAACAATATTTTGAGATTGAAACTATTTAAAGAACCTCATATTAATCTACTTCTAGTAATGGAGGCATGAAGATATTACCAAAGGATGTGGCACTGATTTTGTACAACATGGCATTTACAAATGATTTTTAAATATAATGGAATAGTTGTTTAACTAAGTTTGTTTTTCAATACATTTTAGTAAGATGCTCAGCCTTGGACAAGTTATAATATTACATGCATTGTATTTGTAAAATGTCCAAAAATTGCATTATCAGATGGTTTTTGTTACAGAATGCTGAGGCCAGCTCAGGATAACAAATTACTGGTCAGAAGAGCCATGGGTGTAAAATTCTGACTGTGATATATTGTCTTTTAAATATATAACCAAAATAGCATGAATCAGCAGGGGGCTGCAAGAATTTTGAAGAGTGGACATGCTTTTCACACCCAGATTCCTCAGAAAGGCTAGCCCACATGTGGCCGAATACTAACAAGTGAGCATGGGCATGTGTTCCCTTGAAGACCTTCCTCTCGTTACCTGCTAGAATCTATGCTACCATGTCTGTTCCTCTCATATAATGTAAATATAAAAAAAAATATCATTTGTCGGTATAGCATTGGGGTCTGAAGGATTGAAGCCAGTGGTGACACAGAATGCAACAGTGTTTTATGAAGAAATGGTACAATAAAAATGATATGTCATCTTCAAGCAAAGGGACACACTGCCAAACAATCTAAGTATCCTAGCTTCTGATGATGCAATGCTTTGCTAAAACTTGCAAGCAAGGCATTTCTCATTCCCACTAGTAAGAGTGCAATTGCAAAAGATATGTGCACTTAGTGCACAGTACCTACAAACCTGGTAACAGTAGTCCATGTCCTGTGTGTAGAAAAATGCATGCTTCAGAATTTGATTTCCAAAGGGGAAATCAATGTCACAGGAATAACAATTCTTAAAGAGTGTGAGTGAAGGTGAAAGACTGTCATTATCTTGATGCAATGCCATGAAAAGTTTTCAATAACTAAATCTTTTTGATATTTATATCTTCAAAGATATAAGAAAAAAAAAAAATCTTTATAGAAACTCTCTTAATCTAAGAAAAAATATTCCCCAAAATGTTTTTTTTTTTTTTAATTATTTTTTTCTTTCTTTCCAGCCTCAAAATATTTTACTGACCAAACCTTTTCCTGATGGTAACGTAAAAATCTGTGATTTAGGGCTTGCTTGTCTGGTGAATGCTGGTGAGGATATTCGTGAGATTGTTGGCACCCCAGATTATGTGGCCCCAGAAGTGTTAAGCTACGAACCCTTGGGACTGTCAACAGACATGTGGTAGGTATATCTTTTCACTGCACAATACCAGATATTTACCATATTTGAAGGATGCTGGTCAGATTTGAAACATTTGACAACTAAAATAAAACTGATATCAGAGAAAAAAAAACAAATTTTTTAAATAGATTAAAAAAAAATTCCTTGAAATATGAAATAGTCATTAAAAAATTCAAATTCTAAAGTTGTGTTCTGACTTCTGTGAGTTTGATTTTTTTTTTCTTTTTAAAATTCCTATGCTCCAAGTTGGATTTCAGAACACAACATGTTTTACCATTTTATTTATATATATATATATATATATATATATATATATATAAGCAGCAACCTTTCTTTTAAACATCTTTCATTAAATACTGCAGACAAGGAAGATTTAATTAATTTGTTGTTTAGTTTTTCCAGCATCCTTACATTTTTCAGTTTTATAGGAGTAAGTTAGTACAGAAATCTTCCTTAATTTTCTTTGTTCCACACACTTTCGACCACTTCTATAACCATATTCAGGGGGACTTTATTTTTTGTGTTGTAAGTTTTTCCTCATGTTTTTGACTGTCATATACAGGGTGTCCATAAAGTTCGTGTGCACTTTACAAAATTTATAACTTTATTTGTATTTGCGATAGAAATAATCTGTAAAAAATGTTATAAAGTTTAATGTACCTAGTTTTAAGTATAGCTAAAATAACTAATGTGATTTCAGGCATTACTGTAAATCAGTTGGCAAATGTTTTCTGTGAACTGCAAAATCATATTACACTTTGTATTGTTAATGATGGAGGACATGTGGAAACTTAAATAAAATTTCAATAAAACCTTAAAAAATATAGATTTTCTTCTTTCTAATCTTTTTTACAAATTACTTCTATCACAAATACAAATAAAGTTATAAATTTTTTAAAGTGCACATGAACTTTATGGACACCCTGTATAACAGCCCTATTCTGTGTGTAATGTTTTCTTTAATTCCTCACCATGGACAATCTATTTTCATTTGATTTCAATTATATGATAGATATAATACTCTTGCCCTTTGTATAATGTTTTCATTAATTCCTGACCACTGACAGTCCCTTTTCTATGATTTTCAATGCACATCATACAGATTTAATATGAATAATGACTGAAAATTTATATATAAAGTTGTAAAATTTATTACTTAATCATCTATTCCCTGCCACTATTCTTACTACAATCAAAAATATTTAGCTTTTCAGTGCAGAAAATTATTAAAATTTAAGCTGGAAAGTGTCAGAATAGGGCTAAAGTCAGTGGGAAATGATTAGAAACCAATTTTATCTTTTCATATGTGAATCCAGTTTAAATGCAATGAGTTTTAAAAGGCAACCACCATTATTGTTTCATTCCCAACACCATACTTCCAGAATTTACTGTGTCACAATGGTATTGGTAATATTAGCTGTTTCACTATAAGGAAACATTTGACATTCATTGACCAAGCAGCCAGTGCTACTTTCAGTTGAAATTTATAAAATCTTTTTCTTAAAACAATTTTTCAGGAAAATGGGTTTCTCAGTCCACTAACTGTTATAGCTCTTTCCATTATTGATGGGAATTTCCTTCCTAACCTTTTGTTTAATTTAATATGTAATCATTAAAGTTAATAGAAGTTTTTGACATATTTGTTAGTAAATCCTCCCTGTCATAATATAAAAAGCTAGTATATGAATGACTCTTCTAATAAAACAAGATAGATTGGTACCAGTCTGACAATATGGATTTTGTATGTCTCAGACAAAGCTTGGACAATGCTGAAAGAACGCAAGGAAATTTGAATTCATGCCTTTTCTGAAGTCAGTAATAATGAAAATGTGCAAGTTTCTATATTTCTGTTTATAACTGTAAAAAAAAAAAGTTCAGATAAACTGTATCTTAATAGCCAAGAACTCTCTTGGTGCAACACAGTCTTCCCAGTTACTAAGCCACAGAGAATAGAAGATGCCAAATAATCTGGAAGAAAGCATTACCTACTGACACCAATATGTGTGATGTATGTGACTGACTCTTTCAACCGAGTGTCATTTTAGTCCTCAACCTTTGGGACTGACAAATTGTCGCTGTCAAAGTCCTTGTCACTCACAATGAAAGACGAGAGAGAACAAAAGAAAGAGATCTTACCATTAAAATTGCCACCTATAGTTCTTCCCCCACTAATTCCTGCTACAGTTATTGTTTTCATTGTTGCATAATTCCACCAAGAATTTAATGTCAGCTTTTGATTTTACATGCCTTTTCCTCATTGTCTTAGAATTTTTGAGTAGATTACCAGCAGCAAAACCTGGATAGAATCCAAATATTTCTGAATTTATTTTATGATCAAGGTCAAACTAATTTCTTTTGATTCCACCCCATCACATACACCGAGTCATACACACTGCCAGATATTTCTGCGGTCAGCGTGGAATTTAGATTCAGGAGTTGGGTATGGCTTTGACATTTTTTTTATTTTCTAAATAACAGTTGCTTTTTTATTTAACCCATGAACCGTCTTGTTAACAACATTTTTACTACTAAACAAATTTATACTTCATGCTGTACATCTGCAGCCTAATATATAATTATGAGCAGAATTTTCACCTGCAATTCTCATCACTGAAGTGCACTGACAAGGAAGAAAAAATATCTCTGCATATATTAAAGCTCAGATTAAATATCTGAGTTTGCGATAATGTTTCAATAATGATTCTTTTTACCATTTTTCTTGTGTTTCAGTTTCACTGTACCCACTAACCTTCTTCAGTTACATTCAATTCTCTAGAGACTGTGGGTTCAGTCTCTGGATCAAATAATGTAAGAATAATATAATCCCTCATTAAGAGGGCAGATTAATAGCGCAAAGGAAAACTGACTTAACAAGTTTTGAAATTATCTTGGAAGGACATCAGAAAGAAAAAGCATGAAAACAATGTTCCTCTATGGATTGAAAAAAAAATGTTTCTGTTCGACTTTCCTTTCTTAGAAGTCACTTCAAGAAAACTTGGGGCTTCCAGCCATATCATATTGAAACATTGAAGTTGAGCAACATCAACCCTGGTCAGTTCCTAGATGGGTATTGGGAATACCAGGTGCTGTAAGCTTGGATCTGTGGGTGGTGTAATGGATAATGTCTCAAAATTAATTGGAGGGCCCAGGCTGACAAAGCAAATATGGCTGCTGCTCTTGAAAATGACTTCTAATTAGTGGTTAACTGGAGTAGGAAAAGGCTTGTAAATTTTAATGCCTCCAAAACAAAACTGCTCTCATTCAACCACCATAGAGAAACTTTTCTGCCTGCTATCAGCATGACTGATGCTAGACTCAATAACTAAATCTACTGCAAGGACAGTTACGTCCCTATGTTGTGTCAGAATTCATGTTGCACATTTAAAATTCTACCATTCGTCTGTGTATTGAATACTGCTGCCATATCTGGTCTGGTGTTTTCTGCTTTTCATCTGGAGGTTCTTAACAAAATCCAAAAGAAAGATTTGCAATGTCATCCTGACTTGGCATTTTAACTTCAGTCACTTTCTCACCAACCTGTCTTTTCTACATATATTTCATGACAAGTGGTCTGACAAGCTTTTTTTCTTGGTGCCTTGACTGCATGAATTTAAGCCTGCTATTAGATTGGCATCTAAGTCCCACCCCTTCTACTGTTGAAATAGCTAAATGCACCCACCCTGCTACTTCTACTCCAACAGTTTCTTTTCTTGAACTTCCCACCTGTGGAACTCCTTTCCATTTACTTGCTTCCCTGATAACTACAACCTTCAAAAATGTAAATGCAACATCAATTGACATCTTCTGTCTTCTTGAATCCTGTTCATCTTTTGTCCTTTCCTCAGTCACCCCTCTACTCGTTCTTTTCTCTCACTTTCACCCCCTGTAACCTCCTGCGTACTAGTGGCATTCTTGCCTTGCTTGGGGTAAAATGATTAAAAAAATATTCAAAAGGTATGAATCCACCTCTTCTCCTCCCAGCTATGGGTTAATTAGTAAGACTTGTATCATTAAATCATTATTATCTCCAAAAATATGAGAAAAGATTCTTACAATCGTAAAATTATCTTGACTCCAATATTTACACATGAGATAAATGGAACGTATTTGCTTCTGGTTACATCAATAGCAAATATTAAGATTTGACTTAATGGGAAGAGGGACCTGTTGCAGAATTTTGACTCTGGAGTAGAAACTGTCTGTAGTGTATGTGGATAGTTGTTTTTTTTAGTCTATATAGCAGATTAACATAGGCATAAACTGAAGGGTTATGGCTTGTTTAGTTTGGATGTTACTGCACCTTCCTACCCTCACATCCATTACCAGAAACCTATCATCCCTCACTCAAGGTCACCTGAGTTATTTTGTAGTGACAAGTACTTTTATCGAAAACCCCAAATCTTTGAGCATCCTGATCTCAAATGCATGCCAAAAACATCATTCACACTAACATAAAAATGCTGCCTCCTCTCTCTCTCTCTCTTTTCCTTTTCCTTTTTCTCTTTTCCTTTTTCTCTTTTCCTTTTTCTCTTTTCCTTTTTCTCTTTTCCTTTTTCTCTTTTCCTTTTTCTCTTTTCCTCCTCCTCATTTTTCCTTTTCTTTCTCTTTTCATATATGAAATTAGTGTCTGTCTTCTGAGATGATTTTGTTTGTTCTTTGACTTAACATGATTATACTTGATTAATCAATTCCAGGTTTTGTAACTATAGACAAATACATAAAAAAAAAAAAACTAATAGCAAGAACTCTTGTCCAAATAGAAAAGTTATACCAAATCCAACCGATGACTGGAAAACAACAACCGAACCGTGGATATACAAGAAAAAAGGAAGTGGTTATGAACATGCTCCACATAGGTCATAAACACATAACCCACTCAGATATACTTATGAAAAAAAACACCCATGTGTACAGTCTGATTTGATGTCTGATGTCTTCTCTTGATATAATGTAATGATCCAAGCCTAATCCAATTCAGATATTATCAAGTTGAGAAAAGA